AATATTTAAAATTGATAATTTATTGTGTTTTGACATATGTATACAAGCTGTGAAACTATTAACCACAATCAAAATAATAACCATATCCATTATCCCCAAAAGTTTGTTTGCGTTTCTTGGTAACCATCCTTCTGCCCACTATGAATCCCCAAGCAAACTATCTATTAGTATAGATTAGCTTGCTTTTTCTGGAATTTCATAAAATGGAATCATTACATTATGTACATTTTTGTTTTAGTCAGGTTTCTTTCACATTAGTTAATTTAGAGATTCACATATCATGAAATTCACTCTTTAAACTTTTTTAGATATTTATTTTTGGGGGAGTTCAAGGGGGGAGAGGGGCAGAGAGAGGGGGACAGAGGATCCTAAGCAGGCTTTGCGCCAACAGCAGTGAGCCTGATGTGGAGCTTGAACTCAGAAACCACAAGATCATGATCTAAGCCCAAGTGAGATGCTCAGCCGACTGAGCTACCCAGGCGCCCCTCAAGCACAGAATTTTTTAATTTTGATGAAATACAATTTATCTTCTTTTTCTTTGTCACTTTTGCTTTTGGTATTTATCTAAGAAAGCTTTGTGTAATCCAAGGTGATAAAGATCTATTGCTATCTTTTCCTCTAAAGCTTTATAGTTTTAGCTCTTATATTTAGGTTGATAATCCTTTTGCATTTAATTTGCTTATAAGTTGTGAGGAAAGGAGTCCATCATGGTTTTTTGGTTTTTTTTTTTTGTTTGTTTTTGTTTTTGTTTTTTTTTGCATAGGTGAATATCTTGTCATCCCAGGACTATTCATTGGAAAGGCTATTCTTTTTCCATAGAGTTGAGCTGGAGTCCCTGTCAAAAATGATTTGACTATAAATATGAAGTCTTGTTTCTGGACCCTCAGTTCTATTCCACTGATCTCTGTATCTGTTCATGTGCCAGTACCATACTGTCTTGATTACTGCAGCTTTATAAGATTGAAAATGGCAAGTGTGAATCCTCCAACTTTGTTTTTCATTAAGATTGTTTTTGCTTTTTGAGGTCCTTTGCAATTCATATGAATTTAGGATCACCTTGTCAGTTTCTTTTCTTTTTTTTTTTTAAAGTTAGTTAGTTAGTTAGTTTATTTATTTATTATTTAGAGAAACAGCATGAGCAAGTGGGGAGGGGCAGAGAGAGAAAGGGAGAGATTCCCCAGCAGGCTCTGTGCTACTCTGTGCTACTCTGTGCTCTGTTTGTGAGATCATGACCTGAGCTGAAATCAGGAATCCGTGCTTAACCGACTGAGCCCTCCAGGTGCCCCAGACCATGACAATTTCTGCAAAAAAATGTAGCTGAGAATTGTCAATTTTTAGGTCAATTTGGGGAATATATTGACATTTAATAATTATAAGTCCTCTGATCCAAGAACATGGATGTCTTTTCATTTATTTAGATGTTCTTTAATTTCTTTTAACGATGTTTGCAATTTTCAGTAAGCTTTGCAGTTTTTTTGTTAAGTTTATTTGTAAGAATTTTATTATTTGTTAATGCTGTGGTAAATTGTTTTATTTAATTTCATTTTCAAATTGTTCATTGCTGGTATATAGAAATATAATTGAGGGGCGCCTGGGTGGCGCAGTCGGTTAAGCGTCCGACTTCAGCCAGGTCACGATCTCGCGGTCCGTGAGTTCGAGCCCCGCGTCGGGCTCTGGGCTGATGGCTCAGAGCCTGGAGCCTGTTTCCGATTCTGTGTCTCCCTCTCTCTCTGCCCCTCCCCCGTTCATGCTCTGTCTCTCTCTGTCCCAAAAATAAATAAACGTTGAAAAAAAAAATTTAAAGAAATATAATTGAATGTATATTGACCTTGTGTCCTGCATCCTTGCTGATGTGCCTTTTATCAGTTTTAATAATTTTTTTGTGGATTCCTTAAGATTTTCTATATACAAAATCATGTCATCTGAAAATGTAGCTCTATTTCTTTCTTTTCAGGCTAGCTGTCTTTTGTTTGCTTTTCTTGCTTAATTAGAACCTCTAGTACAGTATTGAATAGAAGCAGTGAGAATGAAGTTTTGTTTTATTCCTGATCTTAGGAGAAACCGTCCAGTCTTTCATCATTAAGTGTGATGTTAGCTGTGGGTTTTTCATAGTCCCTTTATGAGGTTTATGAGGTTTAGGAGATTGAGTATTTTTATCATGAAAGGTGTTGGGTTTTGTCAGATGTTTTTCTTTTTCCTGTTTATTGAACTAATCATATGATTTTTGTTATATTTACATTTATGTGAGCACTTCCATTCTTAATGTTGGGAAAGTCTCATGTATTAAATTAAAGATGAGTGATCATCATCATTTGGATAGATGGTAGAAGCCTTGGGAGTAGGTGAGATTTCCCAGAGAATATATGGAAGAAGGTGGTCAAGTTGGAAGTTTGAGGATTATAAGTATTCAGTCTATCATGTGCAATGCTAAATTTAATTCAATTTCAGTTAGTAAATTTAATGAAACTTCATCTTTCATCTAAGTTAGCAGGTTGTGGTTTTGCTTTACTAGGTAATCCAGTAGAACCTGTATACAAAGTACAGTTGACCCTTGAACAACATAGGTTTGAACCGTATGACTCCACTATATATGCATTTTTTTCAATAAATACAGTACAGTACTGTAAATGTATTTTCTCTTTCTTGTGACTTTCTTAATAACATTTTCTTTTCTCTAGCTTCCTGCATTGGAAAAATATAGTATGTAATACATATAACATACAAAATGGATGTGAGTGGACTGTTTGGTATTAGTAAGGCTTCCAGTCAATAGTAGGCTATTAGTGGCAGGTGGATTTTCAGCTGCTCAGGAGTCAGTGCCCCTGACTCCCAAGTTGTTCAAGGGTCAACTGTATAAATATTTAAGTAAAGGAAGAGAATCTGCATGGTTTTTTTTTTTTTGTTTTGTTTTTTTTTGGAAGGAGCATCTATGTGGTAAATAAATAGAAGAATTTTAAACTTTATGGACACTAATTCCATAAACTTTAACACTTGAAGATGCTGGAATTTACCTCTTCTCTACTCGAAGAAATGTTTGTGTGAAACAAAAAAAATCAATTTGTGGAAAATTTCTGTCATGAAATTATGATTTTTCTGTAAGGAACCTGAAACTTGTACAATAGTGAATGGCCATAAATCCTCAGGCTCCATATTGAGAATTAGAACCAGATAGTGCTTTTACTTCTCATTTTTTCTTTGTCCTTTGAACTACTAGTGCTTATGAAGTAATGTCTCTTTTGATTTCAGAATCACTATTAGCAGTTATATTATAAAAAACTCTAATTTCAAGGTATTATATATAAGTTGATTACGGTCAAAATAGCTTGTTGCTGAGACTACCTGTTAGACTTTTACAAGCAATTTGTATATTTCAGCTTTGTGAGTAAAATTGACAATTAAAAGTGGTACATACTTAAGGTGTACGACTTGATGATATATGTATACATTGTGAGTCACCAAAATCAAGCTAATTAACATATATTGCTGCACATAGTTACCGTTTTGTTTTTTTTGTATAGTGATAACATGTAATTTCTTCTTAGCAAATTTCAAGTACACAGTATTGTTAACTATAGTCATTATTTAAGACCTTTTAACCCATAGATATACCCTAACCATATGTTGGCAGTTAAGATCCAAGTAATGTGAATTTCCTATTGTAAACTTAAATTAGTTGATAGTCTTGGAGACTGTTACTGAAATTCTCCAATTTAATCATAAGTAATTCAAATTATTTGGTTCAACTAATAAAAAATCTTGTTATATTGACCAGTTCATCAAATGATATGATTGGTGAAAGTCAATTTGTAAGTTGTTTGTTACCTGAAATTTTGTTTCCTCCTTGAACTTCATTATTGGAATTTATCTCAAATAATATGAATAATCTGAGAACAGTAAGTTATTTTATTTATGGCACAAAAAGAGTAGAATATTGACTGATAAATATGAACTAATTCTAAAATTAATAGAGATAAGTGTGGGATACCCTACAATGATGCCCACAACTTATGTACTGTCTTAAAATGTGTTAAGGTGCTAACACATCTAATTAGAGGGTCAGAACACAAATCAGGGTTCTTAAAAGACAAACCAGTATACCTGTGTAATAAGAGGCATATTTAGTTACTATAAATTATTTATCCTGTTTAACCTTAAACATACAGGGTATTTTAAAAAATAGACTCCCAGCAAAAAGATTGCTAACAAAGCCATTTCTAAGACCAATGTTTCCATTTAGTCCTAATCTATAGTCTTTAAAAATCTGGAGAACTAATTTGCTTCTTTGCCATCATGAAGTAGACAAAAATGAGACTGTACTCACTAGAGAAAAAGGGATAAGATGGATGTTCAGGGACCATAGCTGGAATGAGATACTTTGTGTATTATAACCTATATGCAGCCATCAGATACTCTTTCAGTTCTAAAATGTAGTAATTGATGAGTTTCTTTTTTGTAATTTTTTTGAATGTTTGTTTATTTTTGAGAGAGAGAGAGAGACAGAGCATGAACGGGGAAGGGCCAGAGAGAGGGAGACACAGAATCCGAAGCAGGCTCCAGGCTCCGAGCTGTCAGCACAGAGCCCAACGCGGGGCTCGAACTCACAAACCGTGAGATCATGACCCGAGCCGAAGTCGGCCGCTTAACCGACTGAGCCACCCAGGCGCCCCAATTGATGAGTTTTAAAGTGGTGCAAGTCTACAGAGATGCATATTCTAGTATGTAGCTCATAAAATGAGAAAGAATAGTTACTTGTGTTAGGTGATACTGTTGGCAAACAAAATACATAGCTCTTCTCATTAGCACATATATACTTTTTGATGTGTAATAGCAGCTGGAAAGGATTTTATATTATGAAATTGATCCATTTATTTAACATTCTTCTTGATGTAGTAAAAAACTAACCATTTCTAGAAAGACTGTTGACTCATGTTCTTTAAATGTATGTACATATTTGGCCTTTTAATGTGAAAAATTTTTGGGTTTCTGTTTTATGACTACAGGAAGTGTATGTGCCTCATTTCTTACCCAAAGCTACCAACTGCCAGTCCTTGATACAATGTTTGTAAGAAAGAAGTATCGAGGCAAAGATTTTGGGCTTCAAATGCTGGAGGACTTTGTTGATTCCTTTACAGAAGATGCACTTGGCTTGCGGTATCCACTCTCCTCTCTAATGTACACAGGTAAATTAAGTTAAAAAATGTTAAACTTGTCTCAGTGTCACTTCTGAGTTGTTTCTGCAGAATATTGTAAATGTGCATATATGAGTAAGTATTAAATAAATTTGGATTCTTTGGCTCTGTAGGGCTTCATTTTACAAATATGTCCTTATTTCATGTAACGGCTTTTTGGAATTGTGGGAGCTTTTTTAAAAAGTTGAAATATAATTCACATACCATAAAATTCATCCTCTTAAAATGTACAATTCAGTGGCTTTTATTATAGTCATAGCTGTACAACCATAACCACTATCTTAATTCCAGAACATTCTCATTATTCCAAAAAAAAACCCCTGCACCATTTAGTGGTCACTCTTCATTCCTCCATTCCTTCATCCCTAGCAACCACTAATCCATTTTCGTTCTCTATGGATTTACCTATTCTGGACATTTCATACAAATGTAATCATGGGATATGATTATATTATAAGCCCTTTGTGTCTGGCTTCTTTTATTGTGCTTAAAATTTTTTAAGGTTCATCCATGGCGTAGCATGAGTCAGTGGTTAATTTGTTTTTATGGATGAATAATAGTCCATTTTATGGATATGCCACATTTTGTTTACCCATCATCCGTTGATTGGCTTTTGGGTTGTTTCCACTTTTTCGTCGTTATGAATAATGCCTTGATTATGATAAATTGAATACCAAATGAATTATAGGTGCATGTCTATTTTTGCAAAAAGTCTTAGGGAGCTTTAGTTAGCCTTCACTTTAGGCAGAAATTGCCTAATAATATTTTGTTGATGTCATTTGTATAATTTTGTGAATAAGACTCTTTGAAATGTGAAAATAAAGGAGTACATTGAAAATAGAAAATTTTAGACTAAGTGGCATTTCCATTTTCTATTTCTTGGTCTTCCTGTCTATCTTATAGCATGCTTATTAAATTTGAAGAACTTGGATTTCCATTTGGTTTTCTCTTTCAATGTAATTAGTAGTTCCTTGATGATGCTCCGTGTCCAATATTTTTGATGATCTTCACTTGTTTCCATGAATATTTTTAATGATATAGGAAATATTATAGTGTTTGACATTGTAAGCTTTAGAAAGATAATTTTCATTCTGCATATAGGTAATGAGTGCCAAGTATGGATGGGCAAGCTAGAGTAGATGATTAGCTAACTATGAGGAGCTGATTGACACAATACTATAGCATGTACCCATTCCTAAAGACATGGATTAAATAAAGTCTCCTGTATCTTCTATTCATTTGGAATTTATCCTGGGTACCGTGTGAGGTATAGATCCAACTTTATTTTACGTGACAGGTATGTGGTTGCTCTAGTCTCATTTATTGAATAATTTATTTTTTTTGCAGTGTTTGGCATTTATGTCTGTATCAGGTTAGCAGACAATGGTCCATTGACCTGCTAATTATCTTTAGAAATAAAGTTTTATTGGAACACAGCCATGTTCCTTAATTTACATAATGTCTTCGGCTTCTTTTGCACTAAAACATCAGAATTGGTTAGTGCCCATATTGACAATATGACAGTGCCTATATTGCCTGTAAGCTTAAAATATTTATTACCTGTCCCTTTAACAAAAAGTTCACTAAGTTTTCATGTATAGCATACGTTAAATGTTTGCGTGTGTATATATTTGTGTAGATTTCTTATTTGCTTATTCATTTCTGTTATCTTTTAAGTTCCATTACCTCACTGTTGTATTTATTTTAGCTTTTGAACATCTAAAAAGACTATTCTCCCCCATTTAATATGTCTGACCTTGCTTATTTGTTTCCCTGTGTGGACTTGAGAATCTGTTTACTAGATGAAAAACAAAATTCTGTTGGGATGTTATTGGGATTACTTTTATATTTACAGGTTAGCCCCTAAAGACTCCCCAAAAAACTGTTAGATTTGATAGGGGTGCCTGCCTGCTCAGTCAATGGAGCCTGTGACTTTTGATCTCAGGGGTTGTAAGTTTGGGCCTCATGATGTGTGTAGAGATTACTTAAAAGTAAAATCTTAAAAAAAAAAACAAAAACAAACACCAAAACTATTAGAACTAATAAATGAATTCAGTAAAGTTGCAGGATACAAAATCAGTTTGCAGAAGTCTGTTGCAATTCTATACACTAATAAGGAAGCAGCAGAAAGAGAAATTAAGAAAATAATCCCATTTACAATGGCACCAAAAATAATAAAATACCTAGGAATAAACCTAACCAAAGAAGTGAAATATCTGCACTCTGAAAACTATAAAACACTGATGAAAGAAATTGAAGACAACACAAAGAAATGGAAAGACATTCCATGCTCCTGGACAGGAAGAAGAAATATTGTTAAAATGTCCATACTACCTAAAGCAATCTACAGATTTAAATGCAATCCTTATCAAAATACCAATAGCATTTTTCACATGACTAAAACAGGCAATTGTAAAATTTGTATGGAACCATGGAAGTCGTCCGATAGTCACAGCAACCTTAAAAAGGAAAAATAAAGCTGGAGGTATCACAGTCCCAGATATCAAAATATACTATAAAGCTGTAGTAACCAATACAGCATGGTACTGGCACAAAAACAGACCTGTAGATCAAATAGAACAGAATGGAAAGCCCAGAAATAAACACATAATTATATGGTCAGTTAATCTTTGACAAAGGAGGCAAGAATGTGCAGTGGGGAAAAAACTCTCTTCAACAAGTGGTGTTAGGAAAACTGGACAGCATCATGCAAAAGAATGGAACTGGACCCTTTATACACCATACTCCCAAAATGGATCAAGGACCTAAATGTGAGAACTGAAACCATAAATATCCCAGAAAAGGACACAGGCAATAATTTCTCAGACATCAATCTTAGCAACATCCTTCAAGATAGGTCTCCTGAGGCAGGGGAAACAAAAGCAAAAATAAACTTCTGGGGCTACATCAAAATGAAAAGTTGCTGCACAGCAGCACAGCAAAGGAAATAACACAGGAGAATGAAAAGACAGCCTGCAGAATGGGAGAAGATATTTCCAAATGACATATTTGGTGAAGGGTTGTAGTATATAAAATGTATAAAGAACTGATACAACTCAACACGGAAAAAACAAATGATCCAATTTACAGTGGGCAGAAGACATGAACCGACATTTCTCCAAAGAAGATGTCCAGATGGACAACAGACACATAAAAAGATGATCAACATCAGTCATCATTAAGGAAATGCAAATCAAAACCACAGTGAGGTACCACCTCATACCAGTCAGAGTGGCTAAAATCCAGAAACAACCAATTTTGGCAAGGATGTGGAGAAAGGGGAACTCTCTTGCACTGTTGGTGGGAATGCAAACTGATGCAAACTGTGGAAACAGAATGGAGTTATTCAAAAATTAAAAATAGAACTACCTTATGATCTAGTAATCACACTACTGGGTATTTACCCAGAGGCTATTAAAACACTAATTGGAAGCAATATATGCACCCCTGTGTTTATTGCAGCATTATTTACAATAGCCAAACTATGGATAAGCAGCCCAAGTGAATCTATACATTCAACTGTCGTATGCCTGAAACTGATTTAACACTGTATGTTCACTACCCTGGAATTAGAATTTTTAAAAATGTCAAAACAAAACAAAACCTTTACATGTTAGCTTATGGAGAATTGACTGTTGTTTTTCTTCTATCCAACATATTATTATTGTGTAATATGTACAACTGTAGGATTTTGTCCAAACCAGTTATCATGTATATATTCTCCATACAGTTCTTAGAACTAACATAGGAAAAAAATGTATATGTTTAGGAATTTTATCTTTTTTGTTGCTATTATAGATGTTGTGTTTTCTTACATTATTTCTTCTCACTAGTCGTTATAAATATGAAAGATATGATTTGTATTAATTTTGTACCCATCCACATCAGTAAATTCGTAATAACTCTAGAGTTAATTATCTTGAGTTTTCTGGAATCTGCCTCTTTGTTAGGGCCCAGGCTGAAAGCCTTGCCTGATCGCTGCCCAACAAAAATGTATCTTTCCTCCTCTAAGTCTTGTGATGCTTTACATGTAGTGTTCTTATACTTCTTAAGTACCTTCTAAGTACCTTATCTTCTATTTCTTCTGAGTTTTTATTTTAACAACAGTTTAGGTGCTGAGTTCATTGTGCATAAATTCCATGGATATGTCTTTTGTAACACCACTCGGTCTAGTTCTTTGCATGGAATGAATGTGCTGAATAAATGGCTGTGAAAAGATTCTGTGAGGCAAAGAAGGTTAAAATAGTTGGGAGACATTTAGCATTGGGGAATATCTGTGGAGAATTGTAGGGTCCATATTATAAAGCTTATGCTTTAAAAGAATGTTATTGCAAGGCTGAATGAATTAGTGCTGCATATAGAATGTCAGTAAGAGGAAGAAATCTTCAAAACTTGTTAAGGAATAGCTAATGCTGCTTAGTTGATGTTCTTTGTTGTGGGCACATACCTTCTGTATTATTTAGCTGAATGACATTAGTGTGAGAGTTCTCTTTCTGACTCTGGCCAGACAAATCTGAACTGGGACCTTCAAGTCTAGTCACCCTTTGTAAAGTACTCCTTTTGGACCTCATACTTACTGTGTAAGGCATTCTCTACTATTTTAGTCATTTAAATTCAGACAGATGATCACTGTGGCCTCTTGTGCTTGTTTTCTCTGGCCTCTTCTTTCTCATAGGTATAGAAGAAACTGAAACCAGAAAATGTGAGAAACATTTTGAAATATACAGGAAAAAAAAATGAGACAATAGTATCCTAGTGTCAATGTATCCATTAGCCAGATTAACAGTTGCTAAGGTTTTGCCTTGTTGTTTTTATTAACTTGTAGGGAGAACTAAATAAAATCTTGTAGATACAGTTGATGGTCTCTTTGGACCCCTCCGTAATCCCATTCCCCCTTCTCCTTTTCTCCCCAGTGATAATAGTGTTCCTGAAGTTGGTGTATATCCTTCCTGTTCTAAGTTTCATACTTAGATCTGTGACCATAAACACCA